TGGTCACCTACAAACAAGCAAGATTTCTGGCTCTCACAGACCTGTAACTTCTTCTTTAAGAGGCTCCTCTGTCCTCCACTCATTACCTGTATTAATGGCACCTGTTTGAACTTGTTATCAGTATAAAAGACACCTGTCCACAACCTCAAACAGTCACACTCCAAACTCCACTATGGCCAAGACCAAAGAGCTGTCAAAGGACACCAGAAACAAAATTGTAGACCTGCACCAGGCTGGGAAGACTGAATCTGCAATAGGTAAGCAGCTTGGTTTGAAGAAATCAACTGTGGGAGCAATTATTAGGAAATGGAAGACATACAAGACCACTGATAATCTCCCTCGATCTGGGGCTCCACGCAAGATCTCACCCCGTGGGGTCAAAATGATCACAAGAACGGTGAGCAAAAATCCCAGAACCACACGGGGGGACCTAGTGAATGACCTGCAGAGAGCTGGGACCAAAGTAACAAAGCCTACCATCAGTAACACACTACGCCGCCAGGGACTCAAATCCTGCAGTGCTAGACGTGTCCCCCTGCTTAAGCCAGTACATGACCAGGCCCGTCTGAAGTTTGCTAGAGTGCATCCAGAAGAGGATTGGAAGAATGTCATATGGTCAGATGAAACCAAAATAGAACTTTTTGGTAAAAACTCAACTCGTTGTGTTTGGAGGACAAAGAATGCTGAGTTGCATCCAAAGAACACCATACCTACTGTGAAGCATGGGGGTGAAAACATCATGCTTTGGGGCTGTTTTTCTGCAAAGGGACCAGGACGACTGATCCGTGTAAAGGAAAGAATGAATGGGGCCATGTATCGTGAGATTTTGAGTGAAAACCTCCTTCCATCAGCAAGGGCATTGAAGATGAAACGTGGCTGGGTCTTTCAGCATGACAATGATCCCAAACACACCGCCCGGGCAACGAAGGAGTGGCTTCGTAAGAAGCATTTCAAGGTCCTGGAGTGGCCTAGCCAGTCTCCAGATCTCAACCCCATAGAAAATCTTTGGAGGGAGTTGAAAGTCCGTGTTGCCCAGCGACAGCCCCAAAACATCACTGCTCTAAAGGAGATCCGCATGGAGGAATGGGCCAAAATACCAGCAACCGTGTGTGAAAACCTTGTGAAGACTTACAGAAAATGTTTGACCTGTGTCATTGCCAACAAAGGGTATATAACAAAGTATTGAGAAACTTTTGTTATTGACCAAATACTTATTTTCCACCATAATTTGCAAATAAATTCATTAAAAATCCTACAATGTGATTTTCTGGATTTTTTTTTCTCAATTTGTCTGTCATAGTTGACGTGTACCTATGATGAAAATTACAGGCCTCTCTCATCTTTTTAAGTGGGAGAACTTGCACAATTGGTGGCTGACTAAATACTTTTTTTCCCCACTGTATATCCACAGTAAAACGAGTCCTATATCGACTGCTTAGCAAGGAAGAAGCCACTGCTCCAAAACAGCCATTAAAAAAGCCAGACTACGGTTTACAACTGCACATGGGGACAAAGATCGTACTTTTTGGAGAAATGTCCTCTGGTCTGATGAAACAAAAATAGAACTGTTTGGCCATAATGACCATCGTTATGTTTGGAGGAAAAAGGGGGACGCTTGCAAGCCGAAGAACACCATCCCAACCGTGAAGCACAGGTGTGGCAGCATCATGCTGTAGGGGTGCTTTGCTGCAAGAGGGACTGGTGCACTTCACAAAATAGATGGCATCATAAGGAAGGAAAAGCTTGGTCACAAATGGGTCTCCAAATGGACAGTGACCCCAAGCATACTTCCCAAAGTTGTGGCAAAATGGCTTAAGGACAAGAAAATCAAGGTATTGGAGTGGTCATCACAAAGCCCTGACCTCAATCCTATAGAAAATTTGTGGGAAGAACTGAAAAAGCGTGTGCGAGCAAGGAGGCCTACAAACCTGACTCGGTTACACCAGCTCTGTCAGGAGGAATGGGCCAAAATTCACCCAACTTATTGTGGGAAGCTTGTGGAAGGCTACCCGAACGTTTGACCCAAGTTAAACAATTTAAAGGCAATGCTACCAAATACTAATTGAGTGTACGTAAACTTCTGACCCACTGGGAATGTGATGAAAGAAATAAAAGCTGAAAAAAAATAATTCTCTCTACTATTATTCGGACATTTCACATTCTTAAAATAAAGTGGTGATCCTAACTGACCTAAGACAGGGAATTTTTACTAGGATTAAATGTCAGGAATTGTGGAAAAACTGAGTTTAAATGTATTGTTAGAACAAATAAACTTCCGACTTCAACTGTAGGTCGTTTTTTGGGGGGGCTCAAAACAGGTGGGGCTCTGAATGATGGGTCGCCACTGCCTGTTATGCTACTATAGAGGCATTGTTTCAGAAATAATGGCTAGGCTGGTGGGCTCACTCAACCTTGAATAGGCTAACAGTTGGTTTAATCTCAATGGCTTCTATGGCTAATAGTGTTGTCACGATACCAGATTTTTTAACTTCAATACCGATAACAGGTTTAGTATCATAATACTCGATACCAAAACGATACCACAGCAAAAAAAGAAAGCGCATTAGCTAAAGTCACAGAATAACCACTGGGTTAAATTTTTCTAAACATTTAACAAAATGTTTAACTGTTAGAACAAATAGAATATAATATATTTGATGTTCAACTTCTTGCAAAAATAAAACACCATATTAAATAACAGAATACCTTCAATTTTCTTATGCAATACCATATCGGAGACTGAGCAGACATAATCATTTTAAAAGTACATTTAAACTGTTTAAAAATATATTTGATACATTTCAGGGTTAATTTGCTCATATATGGCCATAATATTGGGTCAAATGACATTCATTTAGACCTATGATTCATTATTAATTACAGCTAAATCATTTAATGTATTAAATGAATGGTTTAGTTGCAAAACTACAAACACTGAAGCTCATTTCTGCAATAGTCTACACACCATAGAAATACAATGGAAGTTACACGGCATACTACGATTCCCAGAGTGCATTTCACTTCCCAGGGTGCAATCCTCTGCCAAGGGCCATCAGTAGTTACCACAGCCACAAAGTCAGAAATCCTGCCTATTTCCACAGTTTGTCATCTGGAAATCGGATATTAAACCTAACCACACTGCTAACCTTATGTCTAACCTTTAAATAAAGACCAAAAAGTTCATTTTTGTTTTCATAAATTTTTATGATATAGCCATATATATTTTGACTGTGTGGCTGTGGTAACTAGTGAAAACCAGAGGGCAATTGGCTTGGCTAGTGGTTACTGCTAGCAAGCCCAGACAAGGTAGTCCTAAATATATTGCTGTCAAGTAATGAATGCATTTCACATTACTGTTGGGTTTGCAATTATATTATAATGCTCACATGAAAGTGATACTGAATATATACTGAGTATACCAAACATTAGGAACACCTTCCTAATAGTGAGTTGCAACCCCCGTCCCCGCCTTTTGACCTCATAATAGCCTCAATTCATCAGGGCATGGACTCTATAAGGTGTCAAGCATTCCACAGGGATGCTGGCCCATGTTGACTTCAATGCTTCCCACAGTTGTGTCAAGTTGGCTGGATGTCCTTTGGGTGGTGGAGCATTCATGATACACACAGGAAACTGTTGCGCGTGAATAACCCAGCAGCGTTGCAGTTCTTGACACACTCAAACTGGTGCCCCTGGCACCTACTACCATACCCCGTTCAAAGGCACTTAAATCTTTGGTCTTGACCATTCACCCTCTGAATGGCACACATACACAATCCATGTCTCAATTGTCTCGAGGCTTAAAAATCCTTCTTTAACCTGTCTCCTCCCCTTCATCTACACTGATTTTGAAATGGATTTAACAGATTACATCAATAAGGGATCATAGCTTTCACCTGGATTCACCAATCTATTTCATGGAAAGAGCAGGTGTTCTTCAAGCGGCTATATGTAACTTTTTGGGCGTCCTGACCAAATTCACATAGAATGTGTGTTATAGATCGGTCAATCTCATTGAAAGCAAGTCTTAATAAGCGGTAGATCTGTTCTATGTGCTCTTTTTCTGTGCTTCCCGTCTTACGTTTCCAGTCCTTTACTTTAGGGTTTCTGCACCAGCTTCAAACAGCTGAAAATACAATTATTTTTGGTTATGGAAAATATATTTCACAGCGGTTTAGATGGTACAACAATTTTCTACACTATACTTGTTTGTTTAGTCACATAAACTAAAATTAGGCAAGCTATTTGAATTTTATCAACCAGGAAATGGCGCAGCGTTTCTGCAAAGTGCATCTTTAATGTTTTGTATACTCAGTGTATGTTCATGTCATTGTCACTCCAAAGTTCTTTAAATTTAGTAGAATAACGACAACGTTACAATGGAAATGTTATGTGTAAAATAGTTTGGCATTTTGCAACTAAACCTCCCTTGCCTGCACTGCTTTGTAACATCTTTTGCTTAGTTGTTTCAGTGGGCTGGCCGTCATCTGCTCAGTAATCAAAGTATTCCCATAGTTCGATTCTGCAGCCAGTTTTGTCAACAAGCTGTGGGCGTTGAGTTATGTTTTCGTTAGAAGAAGCCATGCTGTCGGCATTTTCTGTCTCTCGCTTGCTTCTCAAAAGTGGCTCGCGCTGTGTCAGCTGCAGCCTGCCTAGCTACTGCCCCCTTGAGAAGATTGACAAATTACTAGACAGACTCGATCCTCTCAATCCGTATATGACGCAAGACACATTTAACAGAAGTACAGAAAGTAACAAATTCTAGTACCTAAAAGTTTTTCATATTCTAGTATCGGGGGGGTGGGAAAGGTACAGAAGTTTCGGTATACCGTGCAACACTAATGGCTAACAAATGTCTTTCTTTGGCCTGTTGTTTCTCCCCACCTTCATCTTCTGTCCCCTTTCTTCCCTTTCATCTGGACTCTTATCTTTCTTTCTCTCTACTTCTCACTTCTTCCATTTATTCTTGTCGTTCCTTTTCTGTCTTTTCCTGTTATCAGGAGGTTGAGTTACTGAATGGGCAGATCGATGGTGATGAAGCCAGAGAGGAACCCGTTCCCCTGACCCAGCTGGCTCTCAGTTCAGCACTAGAACAAGAGGTACATACAGCGAAGAGACAAAATAAAAATAAATGTGTCTTGGAATGTAGGCTAGCTAGATTACAAGTAGGCATGCCTTCATTTATCATACTATTTGCTCAGTGTGATGACCCTCATGTTTTGTGTGTAATAGGTGCTATGCTTGCCTTGTCACATGTTTTCATTGTGTGCATGTCACATGTTTTTCGTCACAGATTTTCCAGTGTTTGTTGACTGTGTGTGTTGTTGATTCCAGGGTTTGTTCACTAGCGGAGCTTCTCTCGCTTGCCCTGAGGACCCCCCTCCCCCTGCCATCGACATCCACCAGCACTGGAGCCACTTCCTGTCTCTACCCGTCTCTGAATTTGACGTAAGTGGTGTCGGTTGATGATGATGTCATGGTGATATTTGGCAATAGAGAAGGCGATTTGAAATAGTTAGTTAGGTAAAATGGTTCCCTTTGTCAGTCAGTTTCGGTACATACTATGGGGGAGTCGTATTCTTGCGACTTCAGTTGAAGGATCTACAATCACGCCTGAAAAGGCCAATGAAATTCGCGCCTCGCTGGAAGCCCCGCCTTCCACGGGTGATAAGCGTGAGGCTCAGATTAATTTCTTCAATTATTCTGCTCTTCACCTCGGTGTGAACAAGAACGATTCACGCTACTAAAACAAACAATTGGGAAACGAGACTGTCTTGTGTTGCGCCAACTAAACTGTCCCATAGTAGTAGAGCGTGCTCACGCCCTGGATGTTGTGTGCGGAAGGTTGTACTTGTTCTCATACGTTTTCGAATCACAAACAATTAGTTATTTTTTAATTTCCAGGCGCAATGAGTAAGATGGCTAAGAAAACGACCGAGACGACGATGGCAAAGCCGGGTTCTGGGTCGAGATCATGCCCCAGTCAGGCAGTTATAGCATTTCTCTGAAAGATACTTACGCTCTGTGTATTTTGTCTCGGCTTGGAGCACGCTCAGGGGGCCCTCGCTCAAACCATTGTCACGTACTGCGTACAAACTCTCTGGAAACACGTGTAGCATTCTTGAGGAAGCTTGGAATTACCGATGGAAACTTTCCTTTGTTGGATGCCGGTACTTTGGCTGGGACCAAGGTGCAGGAAGCGGAGATGGATTAGGTGGTCGGAGCAAATGTCTTGTCTGCATGGGCTTGGGATATGCGGTGGCTACCTGTGCCCAACCGTGCTCCTGTGTGCTCTGTCACCAGTTACGGGAGGCTACTCGAAGAGAGAAGGCGGCCAGGTTCGGTGGGTGCCCCCCGCCGCCTGTGTCTGCCTTGGTCAAACACCGCTTGCCTCTCTTCCCAGACTTGTTGATGAAGAGTCCGGTCCCACTTCAGTGATCTGGTCCTACGTGGACTTTCGAGACTGGGCTAGCTAAACGAGCGCTGCATAGCGTGCTAGCCAAGTTGGGTAACTCGCTGAGGCGGACTAGCTACTGTATTACTAGCTATTACTGCCTCCCCTCAGTGGAGTTGCTGGGGTAGCTCTCTTGTTTAGTATACGTAGCGTTAAGTCGCTTGGTTATTCTAAACGGACCGTGCTGCAGTCAGTCTAGCTAGGCAAGCTATACGCTAAAAAGCCTCCTGGCTAACATCGGCTAGCATGATTAACTTCTGGCGAATGAAACTTACTAGCTTTCCCCCGGCGTTATGGTAACCCCATTCCTATTTTCAGTTCCTGGAGTGAAGGAAACGGTGTTTGCGTGCTCCTCAGATGAAGAAGCAGCTCCCCCGAGCACTTGGCTGGGGTAACCCCCGGAGCGAGGGGCTTTGGCACGGGTCTGAGTGACCAGTGCACCCCTCCGCAAAGACATTGCTGTGACAACAGCAAACGGGCTACTACGTCAGCCATTGCCAGAGCCCCCCTGAGCACTTAAAGGGGCCGGGCTTCATGCAGGCTATGCAGTCTTACGGAAGCACAATGTATGTTGGAAGCTTGTCCATGTTTAATGCTGCCCCATCTGTTACCCCACATTCCACGGTGTTCACAGGGTTCAAGGTCTATATCAATCTCCCCACAGTGAGAGTGATAAGTTGGGTCACTGTCCACAAGGGGGCGACCCTCCCCCATAGGTGGCTCATTATTGGGATTCATTGCTGATTCCTACCTGTAGCTCACTAGTACCTATGAGGTGTCTAGGGATACAGGTTATGGGCTCTATAGGCGATGAGTTGTTTCTAGCGGAGTCAAAGGAACGAGCAGGGTTGGACACGACCACGCTGTATCCCACACTCCTGGGAATTAGATACAATTATGAATCGCCCATCTGTTACAACAGAAGGGGTCCGTTTTTCAGAGCTGTCTGTCCCATTCCCAGCTAGGTTACAAGGCGCTCTGTCGCCAGTACCTATGACTGGTCGTTATTAGTGTGGTGATGTAGTGTCCACTACGGTAGTCCTCTGTAGCTCAGCTGGTAGAGCACGGCGCTCTGTCGCCAGTACCTATGACTGGTCGTTATTAGTGTGGTGATGTAGTGTCCACTACGGTAGTCCTCTGTAGCTCAGCTGGTAGAGCACGGCGCTTGTAACGCCAAGGTAGTGGGTTCGATCCCCGGGACCACCCATACACAAAAAAAAATGTATGCACGCATGACTGTAAATCGCTTTGGATAAAAGCGTCTGCTATATGGCATATTATTATTATTATTATTATTATTATTATTATTATTATTATTATTATTATACTAAAGAATCACTTTGGAATCTGAAAAGACACGTATCCCAAAAGCATAATGGTGTACTTACTAGTACGTGCACATGCTAACAGAAAGGAATGAGGTGGGTAGATAGCTAAGTGTGTCATTGTAGCAAAGTATTTATAAACTAAACATCAGATCTATTAAAAGTTATATCTATATAATAGGCTATCATTGATTTTGGTCCAATAGGGCTAACATATTACCTAATTTAAGGAGCTTTCTGTTTTGATAGGGTTATTTTTTAAATTTAATTTCTGAATCCCTGCCCAGCCTAAAGAGTGGCCTGAAGGCTGTTTAGCATCCCCAGTGGCTTTACAAGCGCTGAAGGGGTATTCTCTGCTGCTGACCTTGTCTCCAGGCACCATCGCATGAGCCTGAAGCCAGACTCTGGCCAAACTCCTGTTTCTAAAAATGTATTCAAAGGCACCAAATGGTAGGTCCAGGTGGTCACACAAATAGATGGGTGTTGGTTAAATTGTGAATTTTTTTTATGAATGGAGCGAATTTGGAACGGCAGTTTTATTTATTTTTGTGAGCGAGGAGAGGTTTTTAGAGGAATGGTTGGAAAGGACGTGGAGCTGCTTGCAAGCACGGCTCCGTGAGCGATGAGCGGGATTTCCGACGCTCAACTCCGCTCACATACTCTGGCTCTGACCAATGGCTCGCATGCGCAGTGTCGCCCTAGATCATATGACCAGTGACATCCGGGTACAGGCTATAATTTGTTGTGCGTACCCCACCCTTCTGCGTAGTCATCACTTCGACTGTTCCCCAGGCCTCAGCGACAGTTTTAAGGGAGGAAATATACTCTTGTCTCCAGAAACTGGCTATCCGAGTGGGTCCTATGAAGAAGATCCGGAACGGCTGGTACAGCCGATATTTCCTGGTTACGAAAAGGGACGGGACTTTGCGTCCCATTCTAAACCTACGGGCCCTCAGCAAGCACCTCAGTCTACAAACTCAGAATGATCAAAAGTCGCTGGCTATTACAGCGATTGGCTGGTGGTGGCAGAGTCCATAGGGAAAGCAGTTTTACACACATCCATGCTACTGTCCCATATTCAGTCTAGGCTTCATAAGAAACCAGAAAAATAGCTGTCGGACTCCATCTCAGCACATTCCGTTTCTGGGTATCGAACTAGACTCACTCACGTATCATGCTTTTCAATCCCCACGGAGGGTGCCCGGGTTCCGTCTCTGCTTAGGCAAATTTCAGCGGGGTTACAGTGCGTCTTCATCAGTTCCTATGCCTACTAGGGATGATTGCTTCTGTGATGGAAGTCGTTCCCGTGGGGCTTTTGTTGATACGGCCCTTCCAGCCACTCACCTGGACGCATCTCGCAGCCTAAACCGGTCGCTTCTGGGGTCCCTGTCAGGCCAACGGGCCAAGGCCCAGTAGTGGGACCCTCTGCTGTTGTCAGGGGACTCCCATGGGCTGAGTTGTATCCCGCAAGGTGATCACAAAAGACTCATCCACCCGAGGGTGGGGTGCACTGTACGAAGGTAACTCGATTCGGGGGGGGGGGGTATAGACAAATAAAAATTACCTGGAGTATCTGACGCTCAGGCGCTTTCCCCGTTTTTTGTCGGGCCGGCTTGTGCTGGTCAGAACCGACTATGTCAGTGGTGGCGTGCATCAACAGATGGGAGAGACTGTCTCTCTCCCTCCTAACCTTGGCTCGCTCCCTATTGCTGGGGAGCATTGCGCACATACTTTCGCTTTGGGCGACGCATGACCCCGGTTGCCTCAACTCTGTTGCAGAACTTTTATACAGGTTAGGACTCTCTCTCAGGAGTGGAGGCTCTCCCAGGTATGGGACATTTTTGGCAGGGCCGACGTAGACACTATAACCCAACGCAACTATACCAGTCGGAGAGGGGAGTGAACTACTGTGAACTGTTACTGCTTCTAAGGTGAGTGCTGAGTAGATAGAAGCTTGCCCGCTCAATAAAGAGCCAAAAATGCGCACTGGCCATATACTGTTGCGTGGAGTGTCGTGACAAACAATGGATGCTATGCCCAAATGTAAAGCAAGTCGTGTGCTAAGAACGTTCAAACTATGTGTTAACGTTACAGCAGTGAATCCCACAATATCTGATGTTATATTAGCTTTTTGCGAAGGGTATTCCTCAAGCTTTGTCATTCAAATGTTTTCAGAGACACTAAAAAAACATAGTAGGTTACAAAGTAGCGCTTCGTAGATACATTTTGATGTTTGGGTTGTCACTTGTCAGGAACTCGTCCAAATTCACAGTTCTATTTTTGTTTCATCAAACCAGAGGACATTTCTCCAAAAAGTACGATCTTTGTCCCCATGTGCAGTTGCAAACCGTAGTCTGTCTTTTTTATGGCGGTTTTGGAGCTGTGGCTTCTTCCTTGCTGAGTGGCCTTTCAGGTTATGTCGATATAGGACTTGTTTTACTGTGGATATAGATACTTTTGTACCTGTTTCCTCCAGCATCTTCACAAGGTCCTTTGCTGCTGTTCTGGGATTGATTTGCACTTTTCGCACCAAAGTACGTTAATCTCTAGGAGACAGAACACGTCTCCTTCCTGAGCGGTATGACGGCTGCGTGGTCCCATGGTGTTTATACAGTGGGGGAAAAAAGTATTTAGTCAGCCACCAATTGTGCAAGTTCTCCCACTTAAAAAGATGAGAGAGGCCTGTAATTTTCATCATAGGTACACGTCAACTATGACAGACAAAATGAGGAAAAAAAATCCAGAAAATCACATTGTAGGATTTTTTATGAATTTATTTGCAAATTATGGTGGAAAATAAGTATTTGGTCAATAACAAAAGTTTCTCAATACTTTGTTATATACCCTTTGTTGGCAATGACACAGGTCAAACGTTTTCTGTAAGTCTTCACAAGGTTTTCACACACTGTTGCTGGTATTTTGGCCCATTCCTCCATGCAGATCTCCTCTAGAGCAGTGATGTTTTGGGGCTGTCGCTGGGCAACACGGACTTTCAACTCCCTCCAAAGATTTTCTATGGGGTTGAGATCTGGAGACAGGCTAGGCCACTCCAGGACCTTGAAATGCTTCTTACGAAGACACTCCTTCGTTGCCTGGGCGGTGTGTTTGGGATCATTGTCATGCTGAAAGACCCAGCCATGTTTCATCTTCAATGCCCTTGCTGATGGAAGGAGGTTTTCACTCAAAATCTCACGATACATGGCCCCATTCATTCTTTCCTTTACACGGATCAGTCGTCCTGGTCCCTTTGCAGAAAAACAGCCCCAAAGTATTATGTTTCCACCCCCATGCTTCACAGTAGGTATAATAATAATAATAATAATATGCCATTTAGCAGACGCTTTTATCCAAAGCGACTTACAGTCATGTGCGCATAAAACATTTTTTTTTGCGTATATAGAAGGTATGATGTTCTTTGGATGCAACTCAGCATTCTTTGTCCTCCAAACACGACGAGTTGAGTTTTTACCCAAAAGTTCTATTTTGGTTTCATCTGACCATATGACATTCTCCCAATCCTCTTCTGGATCATCCAAATGCACTCTAGCAAACTTCAGACGGGCCTGGACATGTACTGGCTTAAGCAGGGGGACACATCTGGCACTGCAGGATTTGAGTCCCTGGCGGCGTAGTGTGTTACTGATGGTAGGCTTTGTTACTTTGGTCCCAGCTCTCTGCAGGTCATTCACTAGGTCCCCCCGTGTGGTTCTGGGATTTTTGCTCACCGTTCTTGTGATCATTTTGACCCCACGGGGTGAGATCTTGCGTGGAGCCCCAGATCGAGGGAGATTATCAGTGGTCTTGTATGTCTTCCATTTCCTAATAATTGCTCCCACAGTTGATTTCTTCATACCAAGCTGCTTACCTATTGCAGATTCAGTCTTCCCAGCCTGGTGCAGGTCTACAATTTTGTTTCTGGTGTCCTTTGACAGCTCTTTGGTCTTGGCCATAGTGGAGTTTGGAGTGTGACTGTTTGAGGTTGTGGACAGGTGTCATTTTTATACTGATAACAAGTTCAAACAGGTGCCATTAATACAGGTAACGAGTGGAGGACAGAGGAGCCTCTTAAAGAAGAAGTTACAGGTCTGTGAGTGCCAGAAATCTTGCTTGTTTGTAGGTGACCAAATACTTATTTTCCACCATAATTTGCAAATAAATTCATTCAAAATCCTACAATGTGATTTTCTGGAATTTTTTCTCAATTTGTCTGTCATAGTTGATGTGTACCTATGATGAAAATTACAGGCCTCATCTTTTTAAGTGGGAGAACTTGCACAATTGGTGGCTGACTAAATACTTTTTTTCCCCCACTGTATATCCTAGATTTAGGACACACTTCAAAATCTTTTCTCATAGGATTTGTTTTTTGACTGTCTTTTATGCCATTTAAACGTTTATGCGTTTCTATGGGCTTTAATAGTAATGGTATGACCATCTTAAAACAATTCCAAATGTCAACTTATCACCCCCAATGTCTTAGACTCTAAGGAATTAAGCACAATCCATACAGAAAACATTTATTATTTTCACTCCAGCTATAAGAATAAAAATATTGGCAGATATAGAAGGTATCTGTGAATATTCCACTCTAAAATCTGAAAAGGTATCGGATTCCAGAAATATGAGTCGGGCTCTAGACGACATTGCTCGTTGAGGGCCCCTCGGACCCTCCTTTACACGTTTCCGCCAGTGGTTCTGATTCAGCCCACATTGGAGTGGGTACGCCGGTAGGGCTTACCATTGAGTCTTGTGGCTCCCCATTGGCCCAGGCAACCTTGGTTTGCGGAGATCATTTGCCTTTCAGGCAGGGACACGTGGAAATTCCCGTTGTCCCAGGCGCACGGGCAGGTTTGGCAATCGAGGCTGGAGATTTGGTTCCCATGGGCCTGGCTCCTGAGAGGGCTGATCTGATGGCTAGAGGTTTACCTCCAAAAGTTATTGCTACCATTGTCTGCAAGGGTTGTAGAGGGCTGTATGTGTATACGTGGCAAGCGTTTGAGCTCTGGTGCCAAGATAAAGGACTTTTCAGTGCTCTGTGAGGGACATCCTTATGTTCCTACAGGAGCTTTTTAAGCATTCTCCTCTTGAAAAGCGGTCTCAGCATGTAATGTGGGAATTGACGGAACCCCACCCGGGGCTCATCCCCTGGTGGTGCATTTCCTGAAAGGTGTACGTCGTTTTAGACCGGTCTCTAAACCTTGGCACTGGTTTTGGAGGCACTGAGTGCGGCCCCCTTTGAGCATCTGGAGTCAGTGGATGTGAAGATCCTCTCCTAAAAAAACTCCCTGCTTTGGCCTCGGCTAAACGTGTTGGGGACCTCCACGTGTTATCCGTACACTGTTCCTGTACCGAGTTCGCCACTGGCGACTCTAAGGTGACGTTGCGTCCAAATGCGGCCTTCGGCCCAAAAGTCATGGCTATGTCCTACAGGTCCTCAGCTTTTGAGCTATTTCCCTTTTCACCTCATCTTTTTGCTTCTGAGGAGCAACAGAGGTTACATGCCCTGTGTCCTGTGCCAGCTTTACGCATGTACATTGAACAAACACAGGATATCTGGTTATTCACCAACTGGTTTCGCTAATCCAGCTCACGGCAGGGCAGTATCTAAGCAGCGTCTCTCCCACCGGATTGTGGAGGCTATCTCCCTGGCATATAGCAACAAGGGGCAGGGGTCTGGCAGCGTCTTGGAGTTGTTTTAAAGGGTTGACTATAAGAGATATTTGTGCTGCGGCGAGATGGGCATCACCACACACTTTTGTGAGGTTTTATTGCTTGGATGTAACTGCTCCCAGTATAGCACCCAGTGTGCTTACGGCCGGGACAGGGGAAAGTCACTAGGCAGTGCGCTGTGTGTGTAATACCCAGACTTTCCGTTGGGGTCGGCTTGGGGCGTGATTATATTTCCCCATAGTATGTTGTACTGAAGTTGACTGACTGAAAGAGAGCGTAGAGTTAAGACTATAACTACTATTCCCTAAAGGAGGGAAACGAGGTACAACACCTGTTTGTCTCCGTACCGCCTGTTCCTGGGCTCGGTAAAGAGCGGTATTAAATTGATGGAATTATTCAGAGCCTCACGCTTATCACCTGTGGAAGGCAGGGCTTCCAGCAAGGTGCGGATTTCATTGGCCTTGTCAGGCGGGATTGTAGATCCTTCAACCGAAGTCGCAAGAGTGCGACTCACCCATAGTATGTTGTACCTCATTTCCCTCCGTCAGGGAACTGTAGTTATAGTCATAACGCTACGTTAGGGTGTTAGGATTTACCTGTGAGATGCTGTGATGTACCTGGGAGCTGCTGGGATGTACCTGGGAATTGCTGGGATGTACCTGGGAGCTGCAGGGATGTACCTGGGAGCTACTGGGATATACCAGGGAGCTGCTGGGATGTACCTGGGAGCTGCAGGGATGTACCTGGGAGCTACTGGGATATACCAGGGAGCTGCTGGGATGTACCTGGGAGCTGCTGGGATGTACCTGGGAATTGCTGGGATGTACCTGGGAGCTGCAGGGATGTACCTGGGAGCTGCTGGGATGTACCTGGGAATTGCTGGGATGTACCTGGGAGCTGCAGGGATGTACCTGGGAGCTACTGGGATATACCAGGGAGCTGCTGGGATGTACCTGGGAGCTGCAGGGATGTACCTGGGAGATAGTGTCCTGTGAGCTACTGTGACTTACCTGGGAGATACTGTGTTCTGTGATTTACCAGGGAGATACTGTTTTCTGTGAGCTACTGTGATTTACCTGTAATACTGTGTTCTGCTCTTTGTATTTCAGGCCGGTCAGGGTGTCTTTTTATAATATGTGTGTTTTGTCTTATCCAGGATTTAGACCCGCTGGTTCCTCAGCAGCTGTCTGACCTCGACGCCAGCATCTCCAGCGCCATCAGCCAGGACGTCAGTCTTCGCGATGCAATGGTAACAGGTTCCACCTACGATATGATCCCACCGAGGGGAGGAGTCAGGACCCTGGTAGCCAGGCAAGCAAGAGGGCCCCTTTTCCGACTGGAGTCCACAAACTCCTCCAACTCTGACTCGTCACCAGGGACGACCACAGGGCTGGCCACACTACCGTTTACCGCAGTGGTCAACGGAACGCATAACGGAACATTGTCCCATGGTGCACTAGGAGGCTGTCTGGACGAGGCAGTGTTTGACCAGATCAACCTACTGGGGCTGGAGGGCTGCTTGGACACCATGGACGCCCAGCTGCTGGGGAATCTACAGGGCATCGACCCTTGTATCCTGGAGGACCTCGACTCAGACTCCGGCCTCTCTCTGGAGAGCAGCTCTCGAGGCCCGACCTCCCCGGGTGAGTTGGAAGACTTCTGGGGCTGCTTTAGAAAGGTGCAATGTTCAGATAGGGGACATAATGATCCTCTGCTTTGCAAGAGAAGGGATCTCTTCAACCCTAGCCTATAGATCACACACATCTGCAACATTCTAAACATTGCACCCTTCTGAATAGCTAGTTGAGCATACTACATCTCCATTCTAAAGTAGCTTACATATTCCTATGTACATTTGACTCCCCAGGTGCGTCTGAGGTGTCGTCAGCGTCTTCTAGTTCATTCTGTGAGGACGAGGGCGGAGCTATGGGCTACAGCAGCGAGGCGGACTCCCTCCCCTCCAAGGGCATCGCAGAGTACGACACAACATGGTCGCCTGTGGACCTCAGTGAGAGCGTGTGGCACGACCACAGCTACTCCTCCCCAGCCTTCTCCCACCCATCAGCCACCATGTTCCCCCACAAAGCCATCAAACAGGAGCCTCTCAGCGACGAAGATGACGACAGGGAGGATTACGAAGATCGAGAGCTTAGCCGCGACGAACTTCGTGCCCGGGCGTTGCACGTCCCGTTCTCCGCGACAGAGATCGTCAGCATGCCCGTGGAAGAGTTCCTGGAGCTGCTGGAGGGGCGTGGCCTATCTGCAGCCCAGGTCACCCTCCTGAGGGACATCCGGAGGCGAGGGAAGAACAAGCTTGCAGCACAGAACTGCCGCAAGCGCAAGCTGGACGCCATCACAGGGCTCCAGGAGGAGGTGGAGAGGCTTCAGGCCCAGAGGAACAGGCTGCTCAGGGAGAGGCAGCACACGGCCAAGGCTCTGGGCGCCGTGGGCCAACGCATGGAGCACCTCTCCAGGGACGTCCTTTCCAGGCTGAGGGACGACTCAGGACGACCCCTGACCCCAGAGCGATACACCCTGCAGTGCGGGGCCAATGGGAGGGTCTTGGTGCAGCAGATCAGGCGGTCTGGTGTTGCCACGACGACAGCTGGAGGTAAAACGGACAAGAGGAAGAAGGAGAAAAAGCCTTGATGCAGCAAGGGCTGCTGGGACTTGAAGTTTTAAGGATGTGTTATTGTTTTTTCTGAACTTATGGGCCAGATTCTGGTCATGTGACTGTGTTTCCGGATCTTTCTCTTCCTTCTTGTCTGGACTTTCCGACCTTGGGAGCCTAAAAGGACAGAAACGCAGAAAAAAATTACACCCAAAAACGTGCATGTAAATACAAATAATACAGAATATGTGTGAATGATTGAGATTTTTTTTCTGGAAAAACAAACGTAGCTCAAACACTGGACTCTAATGGTTTCTCGCTATATAAATGAAAGGGTTTTATTATCATTAAATTATTTCTTACAAGGAGAATTGTAGTATTTCCTACTAAAATAAATTAGAGGCTAGTTAAAAAGAATGGAACTCCAATTCTATAGCTTAAAGGCCCAATGCAGACGTATTTTTATATCAATATCAAATAACACCAGGCAAGTTGAAACTCCACCCATGCAAAACCTGCTGATTAGAAGGTCCTGTGTAGATTTTACACCAGCATCTCTGAGAAAATAACACTGATCACATTTTTTCACACTTTTACAGTGTTTCATCAGCTGTTGTACAATATGATACAAGACACAGGAAGAACTGAATTTTGACTGCACTGGGCCTTTAACCTCAACTGGAAATTGATAGCAGTTTTTTGGCATCTATTGATAAAGATTTCTTAACATTCTGAAAAGTTGTCAATCAATCAATCAAATGTATTTATAAAGCCCTTTTTACATCAGCAGATGTCACAAAGTGCTATACAGAAACCCAGCCTAAAACCCCAAACTGCAAGCAATGCAGATGTAGAAGACTGACGTTCCCCAATAGATCCTAGTTCTGGAGTTGTAAGTTGAAATTCTTTAAAAACTGAATTTAACTGGCGACATGTTAGACATGTCATTTGAAATATAAGACATTTGAGATGTTACATTTCCAAAACAAATTTTATACACGGATGTAGCTATTGCTTTATGTATGATTTTATTCAAAATAATCTTTTTTTAAGCACTGTATGCTTCCTCCCTTTGATATTTTGAAACAGGGCTTTGAGTCTGATGGTTTTCATTCTACCTCACAACTACAACGGATTTATATGGATGATTTGGGCATATTTTGGGAGAGACCATTTTTTTATTCCATGGGGTTGGGGAACACAAGTGCACTCAAGTCACTGCAAATGCTTCACTGTAGGTCAAGGTTGGTGAAACAACTGACCTAACCCCCCTCAACTTCGTGAAACAATGCATTCACCCACTTTTGTGTTCAGAGGTAAAGTGTGTTTGTATGTATGTATGTATGTATGTATGTATGTATTATTTGAGAAATGCTCACCGAGATTGAAGAAAATGTGTACTGAAAGATAAAACAGAAAAAAGTATACTGTGCAGAGTTATACAAGAAACAGTCAGAGGTAGGTTATATAGTACCTACATCAAGCAAGTAAAGATTTTCTTTACGTCTCAGAAGTTAGTTTTGCCTTGGACAAAACCAATCCAATTCCCAGGCTGAACAGTTATTTTATTTTTATTAGGCACTTTTAGTTTTGTCTGTGTGTGTGTTTCTGATTGCCATGTGTGTTGGAATAAATGAGGCTGAAATGAATTTTTACAAATCCATAAAATAAAAAAAATGGTGTTTTGTTTTCCCTTTGATTGTTTTATATATAAACATGGCTCTGTTGCTCAACTGGGATTGATTGTGTTAAAGCTGTACGGGGAAGGGTATTGAAAACTGAGTTATGCGACTTAAATCTCATTTTTCTAAGAGCACTAATGATGTTCTTGGTGACATGGTTCTTTCCTAAGAAAAAAAATAAAATGGTTAACAAAACTAAGTTGTCTGTGTTAGGTGTTTGGTCTGAACACTTCTATGTGGAATCCTATCTACGGCATGTTTTTCCCACCTCTCAATATCCACACAGGCTACTGTACTGGAGCAGGGCCCGGTTTCATGGTTCTATTGATAAACTTAACCTTAAAGTTACATTATTTCCAAAAACTATATTTTGGTATTTAATTACTCCAATGTTGACAGTCCCAAAATGTTATGCTTATCAGCAATCACGTTTAAAAGATATGAAACTTTCAAAATACAGAAATCCTCCCTGTATGATACATTTTGCATCATATGATGCAAAATGCATCATATGGGGATGATTGCTGTATTTTGAAAGTTGCTTTTGGTCATTCCAAAATCATGGGCATTGACATATGTAAAAATGTATGCACACATGACTGTAAGTCGCTTTGGATAAAAGCGTCTGCTAAATGGCTTATTATTATTATTATTATTATTATTATTATTATATGGAGTTAGTCCCCCTTTTGCTGCTATAACAGCCTCCACTCTTCTGGGAAGGCTTTCCACTAGATGTTGGAACATTGCTGCGGGGACTTGATTCCATTCAGCCACGAGCATTCGTGAGGTCGGGCACTGATTTTGGGCGATTAGGCCTGGCTCGCAGTTGCCGTTCCAATTCATCCCCAAGGTGTTCGACAGGGTTGAGGTTAGGGCTCTGTGCAGGCCAGTCAAGTTCTTCCACACAGATCTCGACAAACCATTTATGTACGGACCTCGCGTTGTGCACGGGAGCATTGTCATGCTGAACCAGGAAAGGGCCTTCCCCAAACTGTTGCCACCAAGTTGGAAGCAGAATTGTTTAGAATGTAATTGTATAGTGTAGCGTTAAGATTTCCCTTCACTGGAACTAAGGGGCCTAGCCCAAACCATAAAAAACAGCCCCAGACCATTATTCCTCCTCCACCAAACTTTATAGTTTGCACTTGCATTGGAGCAGGTAGCGTACTCCTGGCATCCGCCAAACCCAGATTCGTCCGTCAGACTGCCAGATGGTTGAAGCGTGATTCATCACTCCAGAGAACGCGTTTCCACTGCTCCAGAGTCCAATGGCGGCAAGCTTTACACCACTCCAGCCGACGCTTGGCATTGCGCTTGGTGATCTTAGGCTTGTGTGCGGCTGCTCGGCCATGGAAACCCATTTCATGAAGCTCCCAACAAACAGTTTGTGTGCTGACGTTGCTTCCAGAGGCAGTTTGGAACTCTGCAGTGAGTGTTGCAACCGAGGACAGACGGTTTTTACGTGCTACGCGCTTCAGCACGTTGGTCCCATTCTGTGAGCTTGTGTGGCCTACTCTAGCAGGGCAGAAATTTGACGAACTGACTTGTTGGAAAGGTGGCATCCAATGACGGTGCCACATTGAAAGTCACTGGGCTCTTCAGTAAGGCCATTCTACTGCCAATGTTTGTCTATGGCAATTGCATGGCTGTGTGCTTGATTTTATACACCTGTCAGCAACGGGTGTAGACCTTACAGTGAAATGTTTATTTACAAGCCCTTAACCAACATTGCAGTTTTAAGAAAGAATACCAAAAAAAATCACTAACAAATACAATATAAAATACTACGAAATAAAAGTAACAAATAATTAAAGAGCAGCAGTAAAAATAACAATAGCGAGGCTATATACAGGGGGTACCGGTACCGAGTCAATGTGTGGGGGCCTCGGTTAGTCGAGGTAATTGAGGTAATATGTACATGTAGGTAAAGTTATTAAAGTGACTATGCATAGATAATAAACAGAGAGTAGAAGGGGGGGGGGGGGCAATGCAAATAGTCTGGGTAGCCATTTGATTAGATGTTCAGGAGTCTTTTGGCTTGGGGGTAGAAGCTGTTGAAAAGCTTCATGGACCTAGACTTGGCACTCAGGTACCGCTTGCTGTGCGGTAGCAGAGAGAACAGTCTATGACTAGGGTGGCTGGAGTCTTTGACAATTTTTAGGGCCTTCCTCTGACACTTCCTGGTATAGAGGTCCTGGATGGCAGGAAGCTTGGCCCCAGTGATGTACTGGGCCGTACGCACCACCCTCTGTAGTGCCTTGCAGTCAGAGGCCGAGCAGTTGCCATACCAGTCAGGATGCTCTCGATGATGCAGCTGTAGAACCTTTTGAGGATCTGAGGACCCATGCCAAATATTTTCAGTCTCCTTAGGGGGATGCCCTCTTCACGACTGTCTTGATGTGCTTGGACCATGTTAGTTTGTTGGTGATGTGGACACCAAGGAACTTGAAGCTCTCAACCTGCTCCACTACAGCCCTGTCGATGAGAATGGGGTCGTGCACGGTCCTCTTCTTTTTCCAGTAGTCCACAATCATCTCCTTTGTCTTGATCACGTTGAGGGAGAGGTTGTTGTCCTGCCACCACACGGCCAGGTCTCTGACCTCCTCCCTAAAGGCTCTCTTGTTGTTGTCGGTGATCAGGCCTACCACTGTTGTGTCATCGGCAAAACTTAATGATGGTGTTGGAGTCGTGCCTGGCCATGCAGTCATGAGTGAACAGGGAGTAGAGTAGGGGACTGAGCACGCACCCCTGAGCGGCCCCCGTGTTGAGGATCAGCGTGGCGGATGAGTTGTTACCTACCCTTACCACCTGGGGGCAGGCCGTCAGGAACTCCAGGATCCAGTTGCAGAGGGAGGTGTTTAGTCCCAGGTTCCTTAGCTTAGTGATGAGCTTTGAGGGCACTATGGTGTTGAACGCTGAGCTGTAGTCAAGGAATAGGATTCTCACATAGGTGTTCCTTTTGTCCAGGTGTGAAAGGACAGTGTGGAGCGCAATAGAGATTGCATCATTTCTTGGGGCGGTATGCAAATTGGAGTGGGTCTAGGGTTTCTGGGATAATGGTGTTGATGTGAGCCATGACCAGCCTTTCAAAGCACTTGGCTACAGATGTGAGTGCTACGTGTCGGTAGTCATTTAGGAAAGGTTACCTTAGTGTTCTTGGGCACAGGGACTATGGTGGTCTGCTTGAAACATGTTGGTATTACAGACTCAGACAGGGAGAGGTTGACAATGTCAGTGAAGACACTTGCCAGTTGGTCAGCGCATGCTCGGAGTACACGTCCTGGTAATCTGTCTGGCCCTGCGGCCTTGTGAATGTTGACCTGTTTAAAGGTCTTACTCACATCAGCTACGGA